GTTGAGTCCCATCCGGGACTACCACAGTCGGTTTACTCATGACTATCTGCTGAAAACGGATGGGGATGGACCTCCCATGTGTGTCTCTTGCGATGAAGTGTTCACCATCAAGCATATCCTGCTTGACTGTGTGGACTTTTCGACTGCAAGGGATTCACATTATGATGCGAGAAATCTGAAAGATCTGTTTTCCCGCGTGAGCAGGCATCTCATTGTTAACTACCTGAGGAAAGTTGACGTGTATCATAAATTGAAACTGTGTAATGTGCTTTTGGTGCTATGATATTTTCTGCTTTTAAACAAGAATGTGATGAATATATGTGTTTTTTAAACTAAAGCTCATTTGGACTTTGTACTTGAAGTGTTCATGACTTGTTCTCGTCACTATATGACCGAAATAAATGCCGATGACGGAAAGCCCAACTCAACTCAACTCAACCCATCCGGGATTCGAACCAACACCCTCAGAGTCAGGCACAAAGTCAGCCGTCTAACCCGCTCAGTACTAGAAACTATACTTTATTGAGCGAGTGTAATTCCAAATATATGTTACTGTTACAAAGCTTGCATATTATTGTATAATAATTCAATTACTGCACATTGTGAATGACTATGAATTTCCAATGTAAACACAAATTTGTGTCAGGTGTCAGTTTAAATTTCACGGACCAAACATTTTTTTTATAGTTGATACAACACAAGAATACCCAGTCTCGGCTGTCCTCAGAAACAAATTCGGAGTGGTGTTAAGGTAAAAAAATAGCTGTGCAAATTGTGTGAATTGACTAAATGTTCACAAATTGAAGTGTTGAGCTCATGATCACACAATCGTATCCACCGAAATTCAAATCAAGGTATGGATGGGCACACGGTTTTAAACCCCATTGACAGAAATGAAGGACAGAACCCATTTGTAACAGAGCGTCGATTGTTAAATGTTGAAAAACATCGAGGCTGAGTTATTGGGCTGCTTTAAACTGACAATAATCAACGTAAAGTGGTTGTACATTTTAACGCAGTATGATTTGAAGAGACCGGGGAAGCGGTTCAAGGAGGTAACAGGCCGGGAGAGCCACATTTCCGAAACAGATAGCCTAAGTTGATGTGGCTGTCCCGGCAATAGTTACGGTTGCATGAACATGGAATGTGGCTCTCCCGGCTATGCTGTCAAAACATGCTTAGTGATTCAAACGCGTTACCGTATTTCACAAAACAAGACATGTTTCCTCATAATTTTATTCAGATCACAACAGGTTTTGTTTCTATAATTAGCACAATATGATACACTAATAGGTATATTACATATAATAATAATATCACATAATTGAACGTGTTCATCTTAAATTCCTTAAATTAGCTACCGGTCTTAGATGTAACACCCTGAACTTAATGGTTTATAGAGAACTTGGAAGACAACCTATTCAGCTCCAAATCTCTAAACGATTAATTACTCATTGGTGCAAATTGAAATTTTCCTGTCCAAACAACAAAATAACAGCTTTCATTCTAGATTATATTATGGATGATGCTCCGTGGCTAAATCATGTGAAACCTATATTTTGTAAATGCGGCTTACCGGATGTATTTGTAAACCCCTTTCATTACACTCAATCCTGGATCATATCAAAATCTGAATCAATCCTGAAAGACCAGTTTTTTCAATCGTGCACCAGTGAAATGAATAATTCATCTAAAGGACAATATTATAAGATTTTTAAAAACTCACCTTCACTCGACAAATACTTACTGCTAACTGAAAATATTTGGAAACCTATTCTATATTTTAAAACATTTAACCATAAATTGCCAATAGAAAGTGGGAGATGGACGAATCTCGCATGAAAAGAAAGAGTATGTAACCTTTGTAACTCGCAGTTAACAGGGGATGAATTCCATTTTATATTTAGATGTTCGTATTTTAGCCAACAACGCATCTGTCACCTAGAAGATAGCTCTTGTTCCTTCCCTAATCTCTCAACATATAAAAAGTTATGTCAAGTACTAAAATTTCAACAATCAAACACCTACCTAATTTTATCAAATGTATATTTTCTAGTATTCAGTAATCATTGCGTATATTCCCGGTCACCTTCTTGCATACTTAGCATATTCTGCATTATGTACTCATGTACCACCGGAGGTGGTTCCATTTTGAGAAATAAACTCTGAGTGAAGATGCTAAACACCGCGTTTGTGAGTAGGAAAGACTATTAGTTTCTTGTGAAAACAATATTATACAATGTGGTTTAGAATCATAAATAGGGACAGTCTTTAACCGGTGTTGCTAAACACCACCCTTGTGAGTAAGAAAGATTATTCGTTTCTTGTGAAAACAATATTATACATGGGTACACTCTTTTACTGGTCAACTGTGCAGATCGATGCTCATGCTGTTGATCACTGGGTTGTCTGGTCCAGACTCGAGTATTTACAGACCGCCGTCATATAGCTGGAATATTGCTGAGTGCGGAGTTAAACAACAAACAAACAAAGCTAAGGCAATCCAGTGATCTACAGCTAAGACCAGACAATCCAGTTATCAACGGCATGAGCATCGATCTACACAGCTGGGATACGATGACATGTGTCAACAAAGTCAACGAGCCTGACCACCCGATCCCGTTCGTCGCCTCTTACGACAAGCATATCTAACCCGGATATTCACGGGTATGCGTAAGAATAGATGGGTATGTAATAAATTGCACGTCCATGTGTGTAGATTATGACTACCCTACATACTGAAGATACTTAACCCCTCTTACCTCTTCTGCACGCAGCCCAGACAGCGAATGGGACTTCTCCCATAAAACGCTGACTAGTCGAACACACTAGGAACATTCCGTAGAATATGTAGACTCCCCGACACTGCAGCCTTCTGCATTACCCAGAGTGTCAGAAGGGATGTGCTCCCGGTGGAAAACCCGGGCATTCTCCTGATCTGCGCTAAGGGATCAGGAGGTACCAAACCAAGGGCATCGAGAACAATGGGGAGCCTGGCGACAGTGTACTTGGGATGCAAGCGAGACATTTAAAGGCGAGATATGCATATTTAGCATGTTTTTTCCTGAATCTTGCCAATCACGTTGCTGTCAAAAGGGACAGAAAAATTCAATGATATAGATAAATTCATTAGCTTTATCAAAAAGGACAAGATCAGGTTTGTTGGCTGGAATTCTTCTAAAGCTGTATATGGGCCAATTCCACAAAAGTTTGAAAGCATCATTTTCCATGACTCCCTGGACATGTTCAGGGTCGTATCATGGATGGACCTCAGAGTCAAAGCCACAGGCACGGCGAACCATACCATCGTGTCGTTGAAGATATGCTGTTTGTGCCAAGGAAGGGCATCCACTGACAAGGTGTTGGACAGTCTCTGTAAATTCATTGCAAAGTCGACATTTCATATTGATATTTTGTTTAACTATCACATTTTGGCGACCAGGAAGTGACTGGTCCTGGGCAGCGAAAAGAAAGCCCTCAGTTTCACCTTTCAGACCAGCCGACTTCATCCAGGTGTCAGTTGGATTGCTATACTGTTCCACACACTGCATGTACACACGATGCGATGGTTTCCCAGAAAGCTTCTCCACAAAAGACCGACTCTGGGTAGACCTGGTGAAGGACTTCACTTGGTTTACTCCCATCGATGTACTGTCCAGCAGTACATCGCCATCAACAAAATCAACCTCAAATTCCAGATTCTGTCCAACAACTTTGGCACGCTAAAATAGTTGAATTCCATACTTTCATCATGAGTCTTGACATGCATCACCAGAGGATCATCCGATAAAGAAATATGTGCAAAAGTACACAATATAATTCTATCATGAAGAGCCTCCACGTTAATCAAACCCCGACCTCGACCTCGAGGATTGATTGGCATATATAAACGATTAAGAGAGGAACGAGGGTGGCGGGCTCTGTTATCAGACATGATCCTTCTGGTCAGGCGGTCTGACGATATCTTGTCTTGTCTAATCAACTACTCAATAGGAATAGGAAAGGACGGGCATAGCAAAAGTATTGGTAGCTTTAAGCTTCTTTCGAGCATTTAGCTCTGAGCTCCAGATTTTCTTTAAGCGAGATTTATACTCGGCCCGAAGTTTGTCTTGAATCTGAGCATTGTGGACCTTGTCTCGAACTTCAATTTCCAAGATACGTGTAGGCCTGATTTGCACAAGATGCTCAGTAACTCCTCCCTAATGTAACTTGACCGATCCATCATTACTGGCAAACAAGGATAAGTTGGACCGGCGCAGGGAACGCGTTTTATACGAGACGTAGGCGGTGCAGTGCAATGAGCAAACCCATTTGGTTTGTGAAAGGTAGAGCAGATGACATGACGATGAAATTGATTCTGCGCGTAGCTGCACACGCCTTGCTCATAAGACTCTCACGTCGGTGTAGCAAGTCGTACTACACTCGATCGCGGACAACCCGGGCCTCCTTTCACAAAGCACTAAGGTGATCGTAGGTCACTGAGGTAACCTTAGTGCAATGTTAAAGAATGGGCGTTAAGGTTGACCTTAGTAAAGGTGTTCGTGAAAGGAGCCAATGGGGCCCCTTCGCTAACAATGGCAAGCGCCATCGGGCGGCACTCATACATGCTAATACGGGTCAGTTGTCAGGTCGGTGCTCAACTTATCCTTGTTTGACAGCAGTACATGCATAAGGCCTTGTGTAGATACTGAGCTGCACGTTAGAGTACAATACGCGTACGCTACCTGTACGTTACGTAGTGCAGATTCTCAACCTGCCATCAAGAGTGCAATCAGTGCATGCCACAATTCAGTTTGGTGCAAACTGCGTCTAAGCAAGCCCTGTATTACAAAGATTATCTCATAAATATTCATATATGCAAACTGTGAAATTGAACACATGTTCACATTTCCCCTCCTTGTGTTTTGCTGTCATGCGCAGCGGGAATTTCGATTAGAAAGACTATACATGTATATATTTCGATTATGTATATTTCGCGGCAGTCAACTCACAAACACCAGTCAGCAGACTGTGTTCAGCATCGCCACTGTTGAAAAGGTAAAATTAAACAGAAATATTTATTAGATATATTTTTTATGTAATATTGAATATGTACCTTGATGTGATTAATGGGAGATAATCTTACTTAACATAGGGGGTCCTTGTCGTTACAAACTAGATAACGAACAGTTACACTGGCTCAGGCAACTCGGTCCCCTTTCGTTGTCAGAGAAGGTAATATTGTTTTATTATACCTGTAAATAGTTCTTTGACGACAATGTTCAACCAAAAGATCCACGTGCAGTTTTCGTTTCCCTGACCACTGGAAATCAAATCTCGCAATATTTTAAAGCAAAAGTAGTCATCAACATACGCAATATTTCTGAGAATTTTGAAAGTTTGAAAATCTTCTGTATTCTGCTGTCTATAATTTTAAGCAGCGAAAACTTGAGTGCGAAGCTTGGTCTTTTTGTCTGTGTGGCAAAATTTCGGTCGGCAGCGTTAAGATGCCCCATTTTCTCATCCCATACTTGCAAAGGTCTTGGATGAATTTGCGAGATGCACGTGGGTCTTTTATTGTCATAAGTTGTACTCGTGCTTTGCATGTGAAAAGCAATAATTGCGGCTTTTGGTTGTGTTCCATGACAGTCAAACACATCATGATCGATGAAATCATTCAAAATCGTTGATGGTAGCCTTCGTCCACGCATGTTCTTCTAAACCATACCAACAACAATATTCAACCATCACAACATGTATATTTTGACAATTTTTTATCATTATTTTCAAATTAAATTTTGAGTTTCTTTTTTTGAAGAGTGTATATTCTTTCTGCAGCCAAAAGTGCGAAGCCTAGCCTTTTTGTGTATGTGGAAACATTACGATTTCACAACAATGTTCACGGTCCTCTTTGGTCTCCTCGCACTGTCGTGTCTCCCCCTGTCGGTGCTCGGCGCCCCTGAAGATTGAGATGCCCGTATGTACAGAGTGGACATCACCCTTCCCCCGAAGGAAGGGAGGGACGAGAATGCCGATATACTGGAGATTAAAACAACAGTGGCGGGGTTTACTGACATCAAGGTTCTGTTTTCATTTAAGGTGAGCAAAGTCATTGAATTATTGAAATGATACTGGGAAGACTTATGTGGATCGGTAGCATAGAGTGAATGTGATTTTGTTTTGTTTTTTTAACACCGCACTCAGCAATATTCCAGCTATATGGCGCGGTCTGTTAATAATCGGGTCTGGACCAGACAATCCAGTGATAAAAGCATGATCATCGATCTACGCAACTGATATACAACCAAGTGTCAGCCAAGTCAGCGTGCCTGACCACCCGATCTCGTTAGTGGCCCCTTATGGCAAGCACGGGTTCCCAAAGACCAATTCTATCCCGGATCGTCACGGGAAGGTGGAAGAGATCCTGTTCTGATGTTTTTAATACTTTGTCCTCACTTGCTTGTGTACTCAACAAAATAAGAAACTAGACACCAACAATATTGGCGATAATTGCGAGGAGGGTGATTCTTTTTAATTGCTTGTGCCATACACACGCCAATGGCAAGAAGGTGTGCGCATGGTTTGGGCGTCCGACGTGAATCAGTTGGTAATAAGCGTGAAACGTGCATTGGAATGCATGCGCGCACGCACACACACACACACAAAACACACATACAGTGTACACTGACACTGACTATGCTGCTCTTTCTCGCTCAGTCTCACACACTAACAAATTGATATTTCTTTAACAGGAACTCGGGAATTCAGTGGTAATTCTTGGTAAGTTCAAATATGAAACTATTTCTGTTTGATTCTTTCAGACAAATTTGCTTTTAAAGGGGAAGTGTACTCGAAAAAATCATGTTTTTTCTTGCGTGAAACAAAATGGAATTTTGAATTAGTTAATATCAATACTTGGAAATACACAGTTATTTATTTTACAATGAAAGCATAACAATCAATATAACTGCTGAAATGTTATGCCATTATGAGTTACCCACATGTGATTATGACGTAATTGGTGCCAATTGATTTAGTCTGGTGTCCTTTCTAGTCCCAAAGCAAAAGATATTCAGACTGGAATTAATATTATTAAAAAAAGGTGTGTAAAAAAACGAAAGAAGCATTATTATTAAACATGTAAACAGCAGGATCGATTGATCGTGTGTATTTTCATTCGACTATTTGTCATTATATTTTGCACTGTATCAGGAATTGAAAACCACGACAACAAAAATACCTGTGATTGCAATGACACGGGGTTTTTTAAAATAAAACTGGGGATTTAAATTAAGACATACACCAAATTACACAAAACGCCGTGAATGGTGAATAAGTAATGTGTCAAAACTGACGAGATGTACGATGTATGTACGAGCTTTCTGGCAGGCAAGGGTTTTCAATAAAATTGTCCTCCCGACTATGAGGATAAATCTAGAAGAGAGAATATCAAACAGAATTCAAAACTATGCACTTATCATGTCTTTCAGTGGCATTTAGAAGTTGTACATTGATGTACAAGATATTTTTATGGATTAAACTTCTTTTTTAATTTCTCTCACGACGTTTCGAGACCATTCCAGGTCCCTTCATCAGGTGAACTGGCAGTTAGGACTATGACGTCGTCACTATGACGTCATAACTGAGATATGACGTCACAATGCAAGTGACATCACAGTACACTAGGGAGAGTACTGTATAAGTGAGTTTGAAGAGTTAATTACATAATGATCAAAACATTCATGCTAAATAATAGAGTTGAAAGTTGAATTGTCAATACACAACAACTGCTAATTACACAAAAGTTACTTGATAGCAGGCTTTCCAAAAAGAATAGTAGACTCGTTTTTCTTTTATCTAAAGTTCATCCAAAGTTAATCAAGAGGTCCCACGCACTTGGCAGGTATACACCTTGATCACAATTCATTGCTGGTTTATGTCTCCTTATCTCCACAGCCTCCTGTAGTTATCGTTGTGATGTATTTGAATATGGTTTCGACATCAAAGTGAGGACTGATCGAAGAGGAGGGACATAAATTGTACGAATTAAGTAACAAACTCAGAATGCCGGCACATTCACCGATGGCTAGCTAGATGAAGTGTACATATGTTTTAATTTTGAATTACGAAGATACTGCAGGAAAGACGACCGACCCAGTTGAATGTTGTACAATTTGGTTACGTCCTAAGACTTTTTATACAATATATACGTGTTTGTCAAACCGCAACATCACCCCAGTGTGGAACTGACAAAGCCAGCGGACGGACAGGTAACATGAAGGTTACAGTAGCCTGAGCATAGAGACACAAGAACCATACACCTATACCTACACCACGTGAAATTGGTCTAATAAGTCTAATGACGTCATTCGTTTATCAGTATGACACCAATGACGTCATATTGCAAGGGACGTAAGCCATGTATATTGTGGAGATAGAACTATCGGTAAATGTACAGATTATGAAACAGTATACATGCCAAAAACTGATTCATTACTATTGATGTCTGTACTGTTTTGACTATGAAACTAATTGACAAACACATTTTATGCTGAAAATTTGCAAGACAAAAAGGTTAACTTTCCTGTAAACTTGCCCTTCAAGACACACAACTAATTGTTGCTCAACATGTATTCGCCGAGTACAATATGTTACTATAACACAAAACGAGGTAGCAACGCAAAATCTTTGTATGTATTTGTAGTTTACTGTGTATTGCGAAAATACAGCATTTATCTTAAGAAATGAAATTCGGTGTGAGCTATTGCCTGAATTTCTGTCTGTTTAACTGAGACATTTTCAGAGTAGGATCCTGAAGGTCAGTAAGACAAGAAACAACAATTATGTATCACTTGCAGTTCTTCGTGTTGACAAAGCGTGCAGCTGGCCACAGTTGACGAGCTTTCTGGCAGGCAAGGGCTATGAGGTCAAGGTGACGCCAATGTATTACTGCAGCGACTTCGCCCGGGAGCTTGGTCTAAACATGACCAGAGACTTCTATGATACGTCTCTCCCGGATGATGAGGACTTAATCATCGGCAAACAGATCATTCCTGTCAAAGGTATGCCTGGCAGTTCAACTCAGTTTTTGTGTATTTTGTGATATAGTGGAAGCTGTCAGAACCGGCAGCTGTCCAATCCGGCAAGTTGTCAACACCGGCATAAAATCTCAGTCACGTCCTCGGCTAGTGCATTTATCATCATTTAAAATCTTTGCAATCCGGCAGCTGTCAATTCCGGATCTCGGCATGAAATGAGCCGCCCAAATATGTGTTTACACAGTAATCAGCGCTGTCTAATCCGGCACGTGGCGAGGAGTCGGCTGGATGTGTATTGTCACCAATTAATCCGGCGTTGAAACTACATGGTTGCCGACAAAGATAATTTAATCTTAGTTCAGTATGGGTATACTTGTACATGTAATTAGTGAACTAAGTAAATATGTGCAGTAATTGAGAGAACCATGTGATACAATAATGTATATGAGAGTAACAAAACTGGTTTAGTTCTGGTTGTAGTTTTACGCCACACTCACAACGTGACAGCTCTACAACCCGGTACGCTGTCTAAACCGGATGATTTCTTCAGTCGGTTTAGACAGCTTCCACTGTACATCTATGGTTGGAGCTTCACTAAATGCACATACAACCTGATGTAATACCCCGATTGTTGAACTATCCCCAGGTGTTGATATGGGATTTGGGTAAACACGGCAGTCGTCCAAAGGAGCGTAGTCTAGGTCCAAATTCACCAAAGAACTGACATTCTTTCATGCAGAAATCGTTTTTGGCATCTCATTTGCTTTTGAAATGATGCGTAAATGAAATTAGTGTCCAGTTCCTATTCAAAAAACATAACAGACAAGCAGGTTTTCTTTCGTATATGTGGTCTGAAGGCATGCACTGAAACATATTGACCTTGAGTGAGTGAGGGAGTTTGGTTTTACGCCGCAATATTCCAGCAACATCACGGCGGGGGACACCAGAAGTGGGCTTCACACATTGTATCCATGTGGGGAATCGAACCCGGGTCTTCGGCGTGACGAGCGAACGCTTTACCCAAAAGGCTACCCCAGCGCCCCCTATTGACCTTGGTGCGACACAGTAATAGATATATATAATTTTATAATGAAGAAGGAAGACGGTTGAAGGTACACACTGCAATCTAAGGTGGCTTACATTTAATCAACCACTTAACGGTGGATTTAGAGTTGTACAGTTTACGTTAAATTATCACCCTACTCAATCCTGTAAACGTGTTGTGAAATTAGCGCCCTATTCGGAAACATGCCAGATGGACAGTTTGTTTCGTACATGTAACCTGAAAACATGTCCACACGGATTTTGTATACATTTGCAGCGCTATCCCAGAAACATGTTTTTCGTTCAAATCATTCTTATATTCCAGATATGACAACAACTCAGTATGACGCTATGCTGAAAACAATGTTTGAGAAAGAAATGAGCATCGTGAACGCAGGTCAACGGGCGGCATGTTTCAGAACTCTAGCAAGTCTTCCAGTGGAGGTAAACCTTGCACAGTTCATTAATCTCATTTGTTTGTTTCTAGGTTTGTTTCTGTGTTTCTAAGTTCCTCATCGCCACTGTCTTCTCTTCCCCATCCTCTCCTTTTAAATTGTGATCATTTAGAAACATTCGTAGAAGATTTTTCGAATTAATTATAATGTTGCAGCAAAATGCTTTCAATTGATAGAGTAATATAATTCCCAAAGGCCACGATTAAGTGAGTATAACACACGTTTGGTTTAGTCTGAAGGGTTAGTCTGATGCAGTTGTTGTTAGTCAATATCATTCCCATGGTCACTGGTTTGACCAAAGAGGTAATCATCAATTCAATTTGATGTACAATATTAAAGTATTGTCCAAAGGCAAATTCCCTTGCTATCGTTTGTTGAAGATACTATTGTCCAAAGACAAGTTCCCTTGCTATTGTTTGTTGAAGATACTATTGTCCAAAGACAAGTTCCCTTGCTATCGTTTGTTGAAGATACTATTGTCCAAAGGCAAGTTCCCTTGCTATCGTTTGTTGAAGATACTTTTGTCCAAAGGCAAGTTCCCTTGCTATTGTTTGTTGAAGATACTATTGTCCAAAGGCAAGTTCCCTTGCTATCGTTTGTTGAAGATACTTTTGTCCAAAGGCAAGTTCCCTTGCTATTGTTTGTTGAAGATACTTTTGTCCAAAGGCAAGCTCCCTTGCTATTGTTTGTTGAAGATACTATTGTCCAAAGGCAAGTTCCCTTGCTATTGTTTGTTGAAGATACTATTGTCCAAAGGCAAGTTCCCTTGCTATCGTTTGTTGAAGATACTATTGTCCAAAGGCAAGTTCCCTTGCTATTGTTTGTTGAAGATACTATTGTCCAAAGACAAGTTCCCTTGCTATCGTTTGTTGAAGATACTATTGTCCAAAGACAAGTTCCCTTGCTATCGTTTGTTGAAGATACTATTGTCCAAAGACAAGTTCCCTTGCTATCGTTTGTTGAAGATACTATTGTCCAAAGACAAGTTCCCTTGCTATTGTTTGTTGAAGATACTATTGTCCAAAGGCAAGTTCCCTTGCTATTGTTTGTTGAAGATACTATTGTCCAAAGGCAAGTTCCCTTGCTATCGTTTGTTGAAGATACTATTGTCCAAAGACAAGTTCCCTTGCTATCGTTTGTTGAAGATACTATTGTCCAAAGACAAGTTCCCTTGCTATCGTTTGTTGAAGATACTATTGTCCAAAGACAAGTTCCCTTGCTATTGTTTGTTGAAGATACTATTGTCCAAAGGCAAGTTCCCTTGCTATCGTTTGTTGAAGATACTATTGTCCAAAGACAAGTTCCCTTGCTATCGTTTGTTGAAGATACTATTGTCCAAAGACAAGTTCCCTTGCTATTGTTTGTTGAAGATACTATTGTCCAAGACAAGTTCCTTTGCTATCGTTTGTTGAAGATACTATTGTCCAAAGACAAGTTCCCTTGCTATCGTTTGTTGAAGATACTATTGTCCAAAGACAAGTTCCCTTGCTATTGTTTGTTGAAGATACTATTGTCCAAAGGCAAGTTCCCTTGCTATTGTTTGTTGAAGATACTATTGTCCAAAGACAAGTTCCCTTGCTATCGTTTGTTGAAGATACTATTGTCCAAAGACAAGTTCCCTTGCTATCGTTTGTTGAAGATACTATTGTCCAAAGGCAAGTTCCCTTGCTATCGTTTGTTGAAGATACTATTGTCCAAAGGCAAGTTCCCTTGCTATCGTTTGTTGAAGATACTATTGTCCAAAGACAAGTTCCCTTGCTATCGTTTGTTGAAGATACTATTGTCCAAAGGCAAGTTCCCTTGCTTTTGTTTGTTGAACATACTGTGATGTTTATCGTTTCATAATGACGTCATTTTCTGCCACCTTTTCAGATGATATACTTCGCTCCGGTTCGCCAAAAGAAAATGTCGGCTATATCGGATACTATGAACGCAAAGGGTTACAATGATTTCGAACTCCTTCGAATCGAGAAGCTCGATCATTACACTGGAGGATGCGAGTAACTAGATATAATTTCCGAATGCAGACACGTATGTTAAACTGAGAAAACAAAGATTAAAATTGTCATCAATCTACTGATCCACCATAAAAGCAGATGAATTAAAGGAATACATTTCAGACACGTATGTCAAGTAAATAATATGTACTCATCTTTCACTGAATAAACTACAGCATTCCGTGACTCTTCCTGTAAATCAATGAATGTAGTCTCACATTTACAGTTACATTCTACATGTAAATTGCACATTTGATTGAAGAATGCTTTACAAAGTTCCTGTTGAAAACCTCTTTTGTTTAAACAGGTAGAAGACATTCACATATAACTGTGACGTCGAATTGAAAATCCGTGTTTGGCTGTTTCATAAGTCAGACGAATGGAGCCGGGGCCCCTTTCACGAAGCAACCTTTACTAAGGTTAACCTTAACTCCCATTAGGTGGGATAGCCTCGTGGTTAAAGCGTTCGCTCGTCACGCCGAAAACCCGGGTTCGATTCCCCCACATGGGTACAATATGTGAAGCCCATTTCTAATGTGTGCCCCGAACGTGATATTGCTGGAATAATGCTAAAAGCGGCGTAAAACTAAACTCACTTACGATCACCTTAGTGCTTGGTGAAAAGAGGCCTGCCCTGTCCACTACGTACTTGCCAATACAGTGCCAACTGTACGACTATTCCGATATGGAAAATATCGATCCTGGGTTTATTGCGTTACCTGCAGCTGTCTGGATATAGGTCATTATACCTGTTGACTATAGTCGCTCATGACATCAACCACTGGTATTGACACACATAGAATATCAAAGTACTATGAAAAAGAGATCCATTCGAACTTAATTCGATAATCAGATAAGAGAAAAAAGATAGAAGGAAAATGATAATTGGATACTGATTGGAGACGATTTCAATGCATATCATTGTGGATATATTGATATGAAACATTTCGTAAAAGTCGTACTTAAGAATATTTCGTTCATACAACGACGTGTATGTGTGGCTGCTTGTACTAGCCCAGACTGAAGCTGGTTCCATAGTGCCAGCTCACTGAGACACCATGCCGCAGTTAAGCATGAATACCCCACTCAGACACATTATATTCAGACTCCGAGCCGACCAGTCCTTGTTTTACCAATTAATGCCGAGCGCCAGGCAGGGACCAACAAGTACCATATTTTTAACGTCTTTTGGTAAGACGCGGCCGAGGTCGAACCCGCGACCTTCAGCTCTCCGGGCGGACGCTCCAACCACTACACCACGGAGGCGGTTTTATGGATAAGGAAAGGAACGTGTTACTTTTTATTACACACAAACAAAAGTTTTATCTTAGTTATAGCTGGATGCTGTTTCAGCACAATGTACGGCGCAACCTTCAATTTTCAGACCTAAAAGCAACACATACTCACAAATTCCGAGGCACAGAATGTGCAATGTATGTTTTCTGTTTGTTGTTCAACGCCGGGGATATTAGATGAAAATCGTATGTTTCATTTATCAAAATATGTTCATTATAAACAGACTCGACAAAATATGATATTATATCCATGAACATTGACACACGCCGTAGATTTGGAAACTTATTTTGAAGCTTTATCAATTAATGAATCCAAAATATTATGACAATATATACGTCGATGTTTTTTTATACCATATGTTTGAACACCTTGCACAAGACAAACGAACACATATTTTTTGGTGGATGATTGATTCAACGAACTAGTAACATACAAACGACCAACATATGAGTTTTTTAATACAATCACGCGGGATATGCTGTAATGATTATATTGTTCAGTTCGTACAAAGCTTCCAACAGAAGAGCGGGTCAGTCATAAGGATGGGTTCAAAGAGGAGAGTGGTCATTGTTGGAGCCGGGATCTCCGGTTTAGGTGCCATCAAATCCTGTTTAGAAGAAGGTCTGGAACCAGTGTGTCTGGAACAGTTCGATGATATCGGTAATTGATCTCCAAACATTTTACGTTCTCGGGGCGATGAGGTAGCCTAGTGGTTAAAGCGTTCGCTCGTCACGCCGAAAACCCGGGTTCGATTCCCCACATGGGTACAATGTGTGAAGCCCATTTCTGGTGTCCTCCGCCGCGATATTGCTGGAATATTGCTAAAAGTGGCTTAAAACCAAACTCACTCACTAACATGCTACCGCTATGTTCCAGGTGTGTGGGCAGAGGAACTGATTTCCAAATATTTGACGATGCTCAAACAGATGTTTTATTGTAGTGTCATTGAAACAACGTACAGCTCAACAATCAGACGGGGTGGTTGGTAGCCTAGCGGTTAAAGCGTTCGCTCCTCAGGCCGGACACCCAGGTTCGATTCCTCACATTGTTACAATGTGTGAAGTACATTTCTGGTGTTTCCCGCCGTGATTTTGCTGGAAAACAATCCGACAAATATTCTGGCGCCTTGAGTGACTGGGGTTTTACGCCGCTTTTAGCAACATTCAAACCCCTTTGGCGCTAAGAAAGGAACTACCAGATGAAATTGTATAAGTCATGTGGGGTTGCAAACAACTGGAAACTTTTCCCTTGTGTTCACACTTGTCACTTCGCTAATTCGTTCCCTTTGTATGAGGTGGGGTGGTTTAGTTGTTACCATGTTCGCTCTCTCCAAAGGCCGGGTTCGATTCCCCACATGGGAACCATGTGTGAAGCACATTTCTGGTAACCCCTGCCGTGATATTTTTGGGATTTTGCAACATGGGACGTAAAACTATACTTATTCACTCTTTCGCAAACTGGGTACATTTATAGCGGAACGAATGTAAGTCAAATCCAGGTTATTAAAACAAATATTTCTTTCATCCTTTCGATTCTGAACCAAGATATACTTTCCTCAAAAAAAGTAATTGGGAACAGTTTTAAGCCGCTTCTGCTATGTCTCGGCGATGGGACACCAGGACCCGGTGTTTAGGTGTGACGATCGAACACCTCAACCACTAAGCTAAGCTTCATCCTGATCCAAATTTGGGAAGGGTGGTTTGGTAGCTTAATGGGTAAGGCGTTCGTACCCAAATATGTTGTTATGATTACATCGTGGACCAACATGGGTAGAATATTTGAAGTCCATTTCTGGGCTCCCGTGCCGTGAAATTGCTTGAACATAGCTAAAAGCGGCGTAAAACCATCCTCACTCACTCACTCACCCGAAGTTAGTAGTCTGATGTTAGCCTCACATTGTTAGTTACAAACTGTTTTTGACAAATTTTGACAACCTCTCATTTTCCGACACTATTTTCCATGAAAACATGGCATGTGGTTCCATGAAGACAACGATGCAAATACAAAACTGTTGTTGCTATGCTGTAGGCGGAATATGGTACTACACTGAAGGATACAGGGAAGGTCAGGGTGCACGGGCATTTGACAACTTGACCACAAACTCGCCCAAAGACCTGTTCTGCTTCAGTGACTTTCCATACCCAGAGGATTACCCACCTTTTCTGACCCATGAGTTGGTTCACCAATATCTCAACCTCTACTGCAAGAAGTTTGACCTCCGGAAGTACATCCATTTCAAAACGAAGGTTCTCCATATCCGGAAGTCAGGTGACTATGACGTCACTGGTAAATGGGAAGTTGAAGCGACGGATGCATCGAAGACGGTCTATCGGGACGTTTATGACTGCGTCATAGTGTGCTCCGGGTTCTCTGATGCCCGAATTCCTGAAGTTGAAGGACTCCAGACATTTGAAGGGACTGTCGAACACTCGAAAACGTTCAAGAATGGGACAAAATACAAGGACAAGCGAGTGTTGGTTGTGGGTATGTTACACAGAGAGAGGGTGATAGGGCTGGGTTCCTTTTTAAAAAGTACGTCATTCGGACCAGGGTTTTATAACATAATACTGTCTGAAAGACAACGCGATCATCTTTATCACTTTGATAAAACCCATGAGTAATGGTATGGAGCTGACAGCCCAAGGATTATTTTCGGGGCTAAATTCTGGTCCGAAATGAACTAATACGGGCAAATTCACATTATATCGTCAATGCTACAGGGATTTATGTGCATCACACCCTGCTCTATCCTCGTCAAAACATGCGACCGAAGCCCGTGAAGATCAGGGTTTGAATTGATCTTCAGCAACTCATGCTTGTCGTAAGTGGCGACTAACGGGATCGGGTGGTCAGGCTCGCTGACTTGGTTGACACATGTCATCGTATCCCAGCTGTGTAGATCGATGCTCATGCTGTTGAACACTAGATTGTCTGGTCCAGACTCGATTATTTACAGACGGTCGATGTACAATTGAAATAATGCCTATTTGCGGCGTACAAACAACAAACAAACAATGGTGATTCACATAAATCCCACCTGTTGGAAACAGGAACGTAGGAATCGAAAACCATTTACGTTCCCTCTCCCTTTGTGCCATTTTACAGAGAGGTAACTTTGCGACTATGACTATATTTTGTGTATATTTATTCTGCACGATTTTTTAAAAGGAAATTACATTAGAATGTGAGCTGTCAATCGGCTAAAGTTTGCACATTACGTCTTGAAATCACCTTGATGCATTGTGACGTGTAAAACATATGTAATAATTAAAACTGACCTCCAGGCCATGTTGCAAAAGTTTTACTCTCAGAAGAATTTCAAACGTTTTACTGGAACCTGGTTAGAGACACAGGCCCATGTCTTCTATTTCTTTTCAGGCACTGGTAATTCCGCTGGTGATATGGCCGTAACATCATCCCATGTAGCTAAACAGGTATGGTCATTCATGGTGGAGTTTCCTGACTGGCTGTACTATTGCCTTGAACTAAAAAAAAACAAACATGAAACTATTGGAAATGCTAGACGTGTAAACAATGGGAGTTGACAGAAGCCCATATTATGTAAAACGCAACTGAAATGTGTGCTCATGGGAATGTGTTTCGCCAGATAATCAAGGCGGTATATTCTCAGGCGTTGACGTTGCAAGCCTAAGTAGGAGTATTAGTGGACGTAGAAGTAGTTGTAGTTGCAGCAGCGGCAGTTGTAGTTAACGTATGGCAAGCTTGATAACACGGAGGCCAATTTTTGCCAAACCGTGGTTAACCAATGTGAAGACTGTTGCGTCCCTTCCCGCATTAGGATTTCGTTTTTCGTGGGATCAAAAGTTTCTAATTATTATGAAATACTTTCATGGGTTTCAGCGGGAGTAGCCAAGTGGTTAAAACGTTCGCTTGTCACGCCGAAGACCCGAGTTCGATTCCCCACATGGGTACAATGTGCCCCCGATGTGATTTTGCTGGAATATTGTTAAAAACGGCGTAAAAACATACACACTTCAGCGAAGTCCTGTCTTCCGTTTGCAGTTCAATTTACAACCAGCAGTTTAATGGAAACACTGTCAAAAACGATTTTACACACGATTACCTCATTCGTGACACTGAGTGCTTCCTTTTCCTTGCAGGTCTACTTGAGTGTGGGGAAAGGAACCTACATAATCCCTCGACTGCTTGAAGGAGGTCAGCCCCTCGGCTACGTCACACAAAGGAGGTGTAACGTCAGGAATAAGACAGCGTTAAGCAACGTCATTTGTGACATAGCTAATTCTCGGTTAGACCACACAGCCGCTGGAGTGACGACCGGCGTTGACAAGGTCCCAGATCTCACCATGATGATAAACGACTTCATTTACCAACAGATTGCATGTGGTCGGGTGAAGATCGCAGGCAAGCTGATGAGGGTGGGCAAAACCGAGGCTGAGTTCGAGGACGGTACTGTTCTCAAGGATATTGACACTATTTTGTTTGCAACAGGTTACAGTCGCGGACAAAGCTTCCTACCTGATGAAGCAAAAGGAGGTGAGTAAGAGAGTGAGTGGATTTAAAGGTACATTTAAACAATGCAAACATTAACACGGATACGGAGTTTTAGAGAAAAATAATCAGCGGATCCTGGTGTACCTAAGGGACATAACTCATGACAATATTCTGTTTGATATCGGCTGGCAAAATCTTACTGAACAATTTTCAATCTTCCTGTTCGTAAAACTATTCTTAACATAGACCTTCGATTTCCTTGTTTGTTTAACGCCGCCTTCAGCAATATTCCAGCAATATGGCGGTGGGCTGTAAACTGTAAATAATCCAGGCTGGACCAGAAAATCCTGTGATTAACAGCATGAGCATCCATCGACACAACTGGGGTAAAATGACATATGTCAACCAAGTCAGCGAGCCTAACCACCCGCCTCTTACGACAAGCAGTGGTTGCTGAAGACCAATTCTAACCCTGATCTTCATGGATTACGTCCCCTTGTAAAGGTCGACCAAGAAACCGGCTGTATGTGCAAATACACTGGAAACTTAGGGTGCTCAGACAGGATAGGGACGGGACTGCCTGGTTGAGAGATATCGTTATAGCATGTTGGTGTGTGTTTTTGAGCATTTAGCAAGTTGACGTTAAGTGGGTCTCGCGATCATCGTCCTTGGATGAGAGACTGTGTTTGGCAGCTTGACTTGAGAGATTCTAGGACTTCAGTCCTGCCCAGTCAAGCACACGTTACACATGTTGTCTCACCGTAGGCAAAATTAAATAAGTTCGTTCCAAAAAAAATTCTGTTCACCTGGTACCAGTGTGCGAAATAATTTCCAGATTTTGCTAGCCATACGGGCTAGCTATGCCTGAAAGTTACAAGCCCACAAAATTATTCACTGGCCCGAAATTTGTCGCAAAGAGTGATATATATGTTTTTACAAAATGACCCCATGAAAATTCACGAGCCACTCGGGCCAGTGACTATGGAGATTTACTGGCCCGACTGGATTTTTACTAGCCACGGGCTAGCGGGCCACTGGCTATTTCGAACACTGCCCAGTACCATTAACCTCCTGGCGCCTCACGGGCAGCTTGGATTATCCGGGATGAAAATGTCCATCATGTTGTATGCGCATAGAGCATGCACGTGCGGCATAGAGTTCGGCACTACACGAGTGGCCGTATGATATATATCGATGGCACTTACAAGAGACCTCAGTGCATCAGTATGAAAGTTCATATTTATGAATTATGTAGACATTTTGATAATGACCTTCACCTTCACCTTCATGCATGTTTCCAGGTAAAGACAAGCTGTATCTGTACAAGATGACGTTTCCGCTGACGCTGCCACATCATTCGCTGGCTGTGATTGGATCTTTCCAATCAGCTGCGACAGTTTTGGCCTTGGTTGAAGTTCAAGGCCGACTGGCAGCGCGAGTGTTTTCTGGAGGACACAAACTGCCACCCTACCACGTCATGATGGAGGACGTGGAACGATGGAACCAAAACATCTTGCAAAGCTTTGGATGCTACAAATATAAGGCAAGAAGTATTCGTCACGTCACCCATGGACACGACTTACGTCATATGAGCTAACGCCGTCAACGCCTGAGACTGTAGAATCGTAAAATGGCAGTTTACATTTTGTCATTAATATCTAGATAGATGTGCTTTTGGCGGATATTTCCGTGATTATATTACTCGGCTAGTGTATTTATAGCGTGTCAAATGGTAAGATCCATTATTTGCGTTTTTAAATGTAGAAATAGGCTACCTGGGTATACAATCATACATCGATCGTAAAACGGCTAGTCTCGGATCTGACTGTACAACGGTGGCGGTGAAGACGTTTTAAACTTGGTTCCTGTCTACAAATATCTGTAAAATCGCATGACGTCTTAAACTGGGTTCCTGTCTACACATGTCAGTAGTATAAAATCGCATGGCGTCTTTAACTGGGTTCCTGTCTACACATGTCTGTAAAATCGCATGATGTCTTAAACCGAGCTCCTGTCTCCTGCCAGCAGTGGAGACAGTTACAATATACATAGCACAGCCCTTAATCGCACCTTGAGAAATAAGCACCGAGTTCAAGGAGAAAAACACTTATTGTGGTTTAATAACATTGTCATTGACTTTTACAAAAGTGTATTACTTCAAGTTGGACGACATACGTCAACCGCGAGTTTTTCAGTCGCCATTCTCCAGTATCCTCGCCTTACGATGTTACCCATTCAGCGAATCGAACCCGGTTTGTCGTCATAAGGAGTCAACGCTTTTACCACTAGGCTAACCTTTCCTAAAACGAAACCGAGGTCTTTGCCATATTTTTTGTGAAAACGACACTAGCAAATAAGAATTTTAATAACATAATTTCTTATCAATCAATTAGATCCCAAATCTGAAAATCCGAGACGAGATGGCCGCAGAACTGGGCGTGGCCCCTACCTGGTGGGACCTGGTCAAGGCTGGACCCCGACTGGCCTACCTGTACTACTATGGCCCCGCCTTCCCCTATTACTACCGACTGTGGGGCCCTCATCCCTGGGGTGGTGCTAGGGATGCTATTGAAGCTGCCCTCACAGAAGGATACCTGTCTAAACCTGTTGGAAGGAATAAACACCTGCTTCCAAACACTGGGTGTTCCTGTGCGACCGTTGGACTGTCTTGTTTCGTTGCCATGGTGATCGTAGCTCTTTGGAAATACCTAGGAATGAACTGTTGGTGGTTGAGTTTCTAGTTGTACACATCAAAGGTTCATGCAATGTGTTTATGTTTGTTAAATTTTACGATATTGTTTCAGTTATTTATTTATTTACTTATTTATTTATTTATGTTTACTCTTTTGTTTGTCATCACATTCGTGTGCATAAAAATGACATGAACCAATTGTACATATATTTTGAAGTTGTGTATTTTTTATTTATTTTTTGTGTGTAGATGACCAGGTTTGTACAATCATCTCAAGCGTGCTTTTGAAGATTCATTACGGCGAGAGGGGCGATGGGGTAGCCGAGTGGTTAAACCGTTCGCTCATCACGCCGAAGGCCCGGGTTCGATTCCCCACATGGGTACAATGTGTGAAGCTCATTTCTGGTGTCCCCCGCCGTGATATTGCTGGAGTATTGCTGAAAGCGGCGTAAAGCCAAACTCACTCTCTCCAGCTTGTTTGCTGAAGTACCTGTGTGTCTCTTCCATTTTTGACCATATTATGAGTCTTACAGCATTACAGCTCGAGCTCAGTATGAAACACACTTTTGTCGTATTTGTGAAAACAAGCTGATAATCATATAACACTGTCAATACGTTGAACCAAATATCACGAGATATAAGCTAACATATATAGTTATACCAGAGTATTTTTGCTGTTCACATGTCTGCGTACGTACACATAAGGGGCTGCAGTGGTTAAGAACATTCCATGCTGCAGTGACCTGTGAAGATCCGGGTTCGATTTGATCTTCAGCACTTCATGCTTGTCATAAGAGGCGACTAACGGGATCGGGTCTTGGTTGACACATGTCATCGTACCCCAGTTGCATAGATCGATGTCCATGCTGTTTATAATTGGATTATCTAGTCCAGACTCGATTATTTACAGACCACCACCATAAAGCTGGATCACTCACTCCTCATGCTGTAGTCATAGACACGGGCAACACAATACATTAAGCAATATACTCAACCAGTCTAAGTATAATTAGGCTCAGTATTATTCGTTAGACTGCTGTACCGTATAGCTGTATAACGAATAATGCTGAGCCTAATTATACTTAGACTGTATACTCAGCATGAAACTACAGTCATAACCAAACGTGACTATTTTACAATAGTGACAAATTTAAGGATGACAACTATTATTTTGTGAGTGCGAAGTTTCTCTGCAGATTCTTGTTATCCATAAATTGTCATTATTGTTCTTCCCAACTTCTAAAATCATCCTATTTTCAGCCAGCAGGGGCGTAGCTACCATTATGAAAAAAAAGCCCGGGCTTACACATATTTGCTAAAAAAGTGTGTTTTTTTCTAATTCTTGCCAAAAATACCTATAAACACGTCATCAGAACTATTTAAAAAATGGCAATCCCTCTATGAATCATATTGACTACAATATTCTTTGATAACCAAGCATTACCAATACAGTCACCATGTATAGTAAACATGTTATTCTTCATATCACAAATTTGAAAGATGTCTTTGTTTCAGTGATGATTGTTTTTCCACCATCATGTATGTGAAGGTGTTTGTTAGAGGTGCGTGAGTCCATGTGAATCATAACTGAAATGCAGGTATTTACAATCGCCCTTCAACAAAAACGTGTACGTTATTCCCTTCTGTAGTCATTCTCAGGCTTTTAGGTGCAACCTATCGGGCTTACACGGATACATTTGCCTGCTACGTGCCTGGCCAGTGTCCGCGACCAGTTCGTTATATCCGTCAGTTCGTTACATACGTGTTCGTTATAAGCATAGTTTATTATATATAGTGGACCCTCAATATAAATTGAACAAAATAAGGGATTATGAATAAGTTAAGGTCTATTTTTTGTGTGATTTCAATACAAATACATCCACTAAAAGAATCAAGCTCCGTAACATGTTTTCAGTACACATATCGTGCTAACATAATGTATCATGAAGTGACGTTCTTTTCAAATATACCTCAACAACAAAATTTGTATATTAATAAATATACCTTGATAACACCATCAGATTGCGTGAAGGTATTTAACAGACTGTAATAATGTACATTTCCTTTTTTGCACTTCCGTGCGTGTTGAATGGATGCACAGTGTAATTTATTCGATATTACAAAATGGTATTGAAATATATAACGTTGTGTATTTTTGTCGAAGCACTTTATGACATCGAGTGTATTATGACATGTCGTAATACAGTCATGCACAAGCGTGCGTGTTGAAATCATAACCAGTGTCATTTTTAATATTAAAAAATGTTATTTTAATACACGTGTATATCATGCTGTGAATTTCATTCCGCGCACTTTATGATGCAAGGAAATCTGTTTGGAATCAGCAAACGAATTCTGAAGTTTTCGAGTTTTATTCAGCATTCATTGAAACCTATCCTGTCGTGTGTAACATGTGTGTCAAATATTAGACATACATATTTCTATGACAATTGATTTTGTCACTAATTACAATATCACTCTCAAAAAGATCAATAATAGGATTGCTACGGGATAGACAAGTGACACGTGTTCTTTCTATCAAACGCCACATAACAAGGGTGGAGTTAGTTTAGTTTTACGCCGCTTTTAGCAATATTCCAGCAATATCACGGCGGAGGACACCTGAAATGAGCTTCAAACATTGTACCCATGTGGGGAATCGTACCCGGGCCTTCTCCGTGACGAGCCAACGCTTCAACCCACTTCTCGTGTCCCCAGCCGTGATATTTCTGAAATCGGCGTAAAACCATACTCACTCACTCACTCACTCATCGAGCACAAAGCAACATGACCCGTGAATATTGAAAGAGTTGATATTCAGTAACCCATGCTTGTCGTAAGAGGCGACTAACCGGATCCGGTGATCCGGCTCGCTGACTTGGTTGACAGGTATTATCGTATCCCAATTGCGTAGATAATGCTCATGATGCATGTTGCTCACTTGATTGTCTGGTCCAGACTCGATTATTTACATACTTCTGCCATATAGCTGGAATATTGCTGAGTGCGGCGTAAAACAACAATCCAACCTCCTTTCAGTTAACATCGGGACAGGAACTTTTGAGGTTTCGATATGGCTTTATTTAATTTCATGGAGGGAGATTGCTCTTTAAATTGTTGATCACGTGGCTTCGCGAACACCTCTCGTCATCACACGGCTGTATCTCTCTTTAATTATTTTATGATGTATATATAATTTAATCCCTGCATATAAAAGCATGTCCTATTGCACTGTTACATCGTTTATCACAGCCTCCATCACTTTCTCAAAGACCCGTGGAGATCCGGGTTATAGAATTGGTCTTCGGCAACCTTGCTTGTCATAAGAGGCGTCTAACGGGATTGGGTGGTCAGGTTCGGTGACTTGGTTGACACGTCATCACATCCCAATTACGTAGATTGATGTTCATGATGTTGATCACTGGATTGTCTTGACCAGCCTCGATTATTGAGAGACCGCCGCCATACAGCTGGAATATGGCTGAGTTCGGTGTTACCAAACCAACCACTGTCTTCCGGTTCCGGTCTTCAATTTTCCCGTTTCTTTTCTCAACAACATTTATTTTCGGCTGAAATATTTAGCCGTTTACTTTTGATTTTAAGTTTTCAGTTCTCTGGTTTCTTTAAATCATCCATTTGTCCTGACTTATTTTATGTAATATATCTTTCCTTACTTTAAACCTTAGCGTCACTGGACTCTGGCTCCAAATGTTTCCGTCACAATGATAATGTCAACATAAAAATACCAATGATCAGCTAGCCCTCTAAAGAGTGATCAGATCACGTTGAAGGCTGTTCTGGCAAGCACATTCATCTTGGTCTTGGTTGGGGGCATATAGTATCAAATGAATAGTTGGATTTGTAAATTCTGTACAAATACTGTCTCTCTTTGACTGGTCAAACACGTAGTGTCTCTCCTGGAAGCAAAGTCAGAACCTCCAGGCAAAATACTATGAGGACATACATACACACACTGTCTCTCTTTGAAGAAATAGCAAGATCTCGGCGGCAAATACTTGCATGTCAAGCGGAAACATGGATGTTCCCTACATAACAAATAACAAATATATTCCAAACAAAACAGGTAAAAGTAATAGCGCTCGCAGAAAATAATTATTCGTTTTAATCTCCTGCACTTTCCGTAGCTGATTTGCATAGGCGCCATGTTGTGCCTTTGCGCATGCTCGGATGGCTCCGTCCCAAGCTCCGGGTCCAGTGAGACGATGATGAACGTTGAAAGCTGGGCCAAGGTAATACTGGAATGCAACGGTTGGTCCCAGTCTCAACAGTTCCAACAAAGATGGCTTTACCCCTAGCTCTGCAGCTATTTCGTCCCTTATCTGGATATTTGGAAACTGGAAAAGAGAAGAGGCTTGTTCAGAACATTTTTTTCAGTGGTACCACGCCGTGACAAGAAGTAAATCTGATGGGAGATGTTTGCGATATTTGGTGACACCACGGTGTTCCTGCAATATGAGTACTTGCTGATTCCGTTTAACAAGTTCTTATTTGTAGTCTGTTAAATATCTAGCTGTTTATCGTGTCATATAATAAATTAGCTCCCATGTAAAAAATAATTTGCTTCCAGAAAATCGATTTCATATTTCTCAAAAACCATCGAAATTACAAATAATAATAGTGAGTGAGTGAGCAGTTTACGCCGCTTTTAGCAATATTTTAGCAATATTCCAGCAATATCACGGGGAGGGACGCCAGAAAACAAATAATAATAAGAACAAAATAACGCTCGCTTGTAAGAACAGGCTACTGAAAGAATTAATCGTCTGGCTCGGCGCCCTAGTTTATGCATTCAAACATCGACGTTGCTCATGACGTCAATCACAAGTTTGTCTGGTCCAGATGCGTTTTTACAGGATTTGGTCATAGAGCTGTAATATTCCTGGATACAACCTTATACAACTCACACATAACTATTTACTCAACAATAAACGGCCAGAGAATGAACAGTATTGGGACTGAGAATAAACGTTACGTTACAGCTACGTCACCTTGTGAGTGAGTAGGGTTTTACGCCGCTTTTATCACTATTCCAGCAATGCTGTCTTACCGAGTATCTGTATTTTCCATATATTCGTAGAAAGCTTTTATTCCATTTGTCAATATCTTTGAGCATCACAGTTTTGGTTGGAAGTTTGTGTTTCTTGGAGACAACTCTTGCCGCCAGTCGCGCTTGAAGCTCGGCTATTGGTACCAGAGATCCATGAGTTCGGAGAAAGCCAATCATGGCCATCGTATCATGTGAAAGATGAACAGGGAACACCATCTTGTACCATTCCAGTTTCTCCTCACCTGAAAGTAATGAATGAGTCAGTCTGGTTTTATGCTGTTGTGAACAGAATTTCAGTTTTTGTTTGTTGTTTTACGCAGCACTCAGTAACATTCCAGCTACAGGCAGCGATCTGCAAATAACCGAGTCTGGAGCAGACAATCCAATGATCAATATGAACATCGATCAATGGGGATACGATGACATGTGTTAACCAAGTCTACGAGTCTGACCTCTCGATTCCATTCCTTTTACGACAAGCATGGATTACTGAAGATCAATTTTAACCCGGACCGTCACGGGTTAAATCCGCACAGTTAATTGTGCTGGTTTCGACGAATGGACTAAATCTGCTGGCTACATCCTGATCATGAAATTCTATACGGGAGGAAATCGAAGTTACGACATGCATGGTGCAAACAAACTAAGAAACATAACTAATGACGAATATCGAATTTGAACCCATGATCATATGTTTCTGTCACGTCTATGAGGGTAATATCTTCATACTTGCTCCTACGACAGGGTCGAGAAATGGAACACTCCGTTGCAGTCCTGTTGCAAATATCACACCATCAAGGTCCGAGACTGTTGTCCCATCATCGAACTCCGCGTGTCTCGTCCCAAGTCTCGCGAGATTTCCTGCGATCCTAACCTTGCCACAGACAATCCTCATTTGAATTTCATCATTAATCATGACAGCGCCAAGAGGGACGGGTATCCCTGAGTGCAGTTTGTATTTAACATGGTCAAGTCTTGCGTTAGCTTTGCTGACGATTGCCTTGCCAAAAACAGATTCCGGAAGTGGTATCAACGTGAAAATTCGCCTCAGCATGAAGTCCACGGGAACACCACCCCCTTGACAACGATTGAGTATCCATGTTCCTTTCCCAACAGATAAATAGACCTGTTAAACAGATGGGGGAAATATTGCCATGAAACATGGATTATAATGTTAACAAAGCACATAGAATGGTAAGAATCAAATATGGTCAAAAATAGAAGAGACACACAGACACTTAAGCAAACAAGCTGGAATAAGTTAGATACTCGAGATCTGTCAAACATTTTGTTTACAACGCGGGATCATCTAGAGGCCTTTTAATTCTTCAGCTCGAGTGACTATAGAGCAGTATAACTGAGATTTATATCTCGAAAACGAAAGTGAACGGGCAGTTCCGAAAGTAGATAAATAAAACGATTTCATGTACTGTCCGGTTTCCTCTCTGAATTCCATCATATGAACGTCGAAAAGGATGCAATATCGAAGAACTCTTGAGTTAAAGGTAGGTTTTCTTTAGGTCAGACCGAAATCCCAAAATGGTGTGATGACAATTTCTGTGATCGACATTGCTTGAATAACAATCTTACACACTCACTCATTGCAATGAATCGAGGTGACAAGACTGTTGGGGTCTGTGGGGATTGGCCGTATGAGTGCTCGTCAGATCTTAATAAAGAGAGGTATCGAACTGGATTGATTGACTAATCAATTAGATTGGCTGATACACCTTCAATACCTGACATGTATTTGGAAACCATTTGTTAAAAAACTTTGTCTTTTAATAGGCGTTAACATTTGGGAAAAAGAGTGACAATAACGTACTTGCTGAGCGTATCTACTGACGTCGGTGGCTACGTCTCCGGCCGAGTGGGCATTGCCTGTAAACAGATGGAACTTCAAGTGGGCAGTAATCATTCGTGCATATTCTGTACAGAATAGCTGGGGTTAAGTGTGGACGGGGGATGGGGGTGGGGCGTTGTTTACGCAATATTAGTTACTGTAGTAAAGGTGGTATGTGCGTATTGCATCTGCTGTTAGACTAACCGGGGCACTGAAGCCAAGTCGTCTGAGGCGACGCAATTCCCCAATGTAATTTGAGATGAAAATGACAAAAGGCAAGCTTTTACCTTCCTCTATATAATAGTCTCACTACAGTTACAGTTCAGTAACATCTATAGTATATACATACATTCAAAAGGAAAATAATATTAAGCATAATCCGGACCCAAGGTCCTACTTATTATGTTATTACGGCAAGAAAACAACGTAATTAAGTTGACGGTGTTACCAACGAGTGGGGGTAGGGGAGGTATTATTGTGCCATAGTATCATGCCGCATGTTAACATAAACACCTCGCAGACAACTCCAAAGCCAACCTCTCTTTGTGTTACCCATTGATGCACAGCGCCAGACAGGGTAACAACAAGTACCGTCTTTTAACGCCTTGTTCATCGAGAAGCTACGTGCGAGGTAGGAGACAAAGTAAGAATATTAACGAATGCCTTACCAACAACAAGTATCCTCTGGTTCCGATATTTGGACCCTGATTTGAATGTCTGAGAATGCTCCACAGTTCCTGCAAACTTCTCAACACCTTCTATGTTGGGAGTATAAGCCTTTGAGTAAACACCAGTGCAGACTAACACCGCAGCGAATGTGGTCCACTTCCGGTCGCCATTTAATTCCGTTTCAATGTCCCAACTTCCGGTGGTTTCATAATTGCTGCTTCTCGTTATATTATGCACCTTTGTATTGAACTGAATGTATTTCTCAAGCCCAAAATTCGCCGCGTAGCTTTTGAGATACTGATACATATCTTGTCCTGTTGGGAATGGCGGAGCATCCTCGGGAAATGGGAAGTCACTGAAGCAGGTGATTCCCTTGTTCGTGTTGAGTATAAGTGAATCGTACGCCCTGGCACCCTGGCCTGGCCTGAAGTCTTCCGTGGCGTAGAATGTTCCCCCTGCAACAGAGGGACAGTTAATTGTGAACTGAATTTCAGAACGGCAGCTTGAAGTGAAAAATCCTGGGAGATGCAAATCTGCACAGTGAGTGAGTGTAGTTTTACGCCGCACCTAGTAATATTCCAGCTATATGGCTGGGGTCTGTAAATAATCGAGTCTGGACCAGATAATCCAGTGATCAAGAGCATGAGCAACGATCGACGCAATTTCGATACGATCACATGTGTCAACCAAGTGAGCGGGCCTCACCACCAGCAAGGGTTACTGAATCTTAACGGATTAAATCTGCACAGTTAATTGTGCTGGTTTCGACGACTGGACACCAACGGTATTCTAAATGTGATGACTACATCCTGAGTTCGTGGGGAAGAGATATGACTTTGTAACGTCCGCCTATTCCTTGTTACATCTAACATAGACTAACTTGTATATGAACTTGAACAATATCAACAATGATAATCGATTAATCCTTCTTTAACCAAAAATACTGGAGAGATCCAAAATGACAAAAACACGTTTTATTTAAGTCAACCTGTGGATTCAGAAAGTACAATGCAATAATAGAGAGATGTATTCGTAAGAATGGGCGGAGAATACGGAGTATGGGTTATACCAGTGTCTGACGTATGTGTAATACAAGAAGTTTCTGTTTTAGTTTCAAACTGTAAAACCTCGAGTGGACGTAGTTCGAGATAAACGGACTGTCTATATAACAACATGGGACCGATTTGGGATCCGCCCAAACCTTTTATTTAAGGAGAGTCAGTGTGTTCGGAGTTACACAAAAAAAAATTCAGAGCGACAGAGCAAGTACTACAAACCAATATCATTGTGCTGTTCAAAACAAACAGGCTCCAGTCCTTCTTCCAGGCAGGACTTCACAGACGCCAGACCTGCAACTCCGGAGCCGACCACAGCCACACGTAGACCCGCCATGTCGGGTTCGCTTTTCCTTCAAGACACTCTCTTCTCCTCGATTTGCAATGCCACCTGCAACGAAATACGTTATTTTAGACCATCTCGGCGCCATTATCCCGAGTCTCCGCCTTTTCTTGTGCAGGATGCAGCAACTTAATCTGAGGACATTATTGGCACTAACGTTGTGTCGTTTATGTTGACACTTGTGATATGAATTAGTTTAAAAGCCCCTATTTAACAAACATATGAATAACAAACAACGGGTTACTTGAACTCATCCTTCGGCCAACAAAGGGACATAACCGGAACCTTTCATGAAGTGAACAAAGGGATAACTGGAACCCTTCCTCGACCCAAGAGGGACATAATTGGAACCCATCCTTAAGGCAACAAAGGACATAACTGCAACCTTTCCTCGACCCAAGAGGGACATAACTGGAACCCATCCTTCTGGCAACAAAGGACATAACTGGGACCCTTCCTTCAGCTAACAAAGGACGTAACAGGAACTTTTCCTCGACCCAACAAGGGGCAGAACTGGAACACATCCTGTAGTCAACAAAGGTCATAACTGGGGCCCTTCCTTCGGGCAACAAGGGGCAGGACTGGAACTTTCGTTAAGTCAACAGTGGAATAACAGGACTCCTTCCTCGACCCAAAAATAAACATAACTTGAACCCTTCCTTAAGGCAACAAGGGGCATTACTGGAACCCATCCTTCTGCCAACAAAGGGATAACTGAATCCCTTCCTCCACCCAGGAAGTGACAAAACTGGATCCAACCCTTAAGGCAACAAGGGACATAACTGGAACCCTTCTATAAGGCAACAAGAGACATAACTGGAACCCTTCTATAAGGCAACAAGAGACGTAACTTGAACCCTTCTATAAGGCAACAAGAGTCATAACTGGAACCCTTCTATAAGTCAACAAGAGACATAACTGGAACCCTTCTATAAGGCAACAAGGGACATAACTGGAACCCTTCTATAAGGCAACAAGGGACATAACTGGAACCCTTCTATAAGGCAACAAGAGTCATAACTGGAACCCTTCTATAAGTCAACAAGAGACATAACTGGAACCCTTCTATAAGGCAACAAGGGACATAACTGGAACCCTTCTATAAGGCAACAAGGGACATAACTGGAAACCTTCTATAAGGCAACAAGGGACATAACTGGAACCCTTCTATAAGGCAACAAGGGACATAACTGGAACCCTTCTATAAGGCAACAAGGGACATAACTGGAACCCTTCTATAAGGCAACAAGGGACATAACTGGAACCCTTCTATAAGGCAACAAGGGACATAACCCATCCTTCTGCCAAAAACTGGATAACTGTAGCCCTTACTTCAGCCAACAAGGAGCATAACTGAAACCCTTCCTTCACCCAACAAGTTACATAACTGAAACCCGCCCTTAAATCCACAAGGAGATAACTGTTTAAGTTGTAATTAACCAGCAACTGGACAGCTCCTCTGAATGACGACTGATTGAAACCAATACGCCCTGGAATTGTAACTGTGAATGTTGAGTGGGTAAACGAACCACAGGACTTGTGGCACCTCAGAGTGACGATTGAATGAACACACCACTGGGCCTGTAATTCAATGGATGAATATATCTCGTACATTAGAGCTAATGTGGTATTTGTGAAAATCCTTATCGTTCAGTTCCTGTACTCTGTGTCAGTGAAGGTATCTACAGTTTTACCGTTGTCACATTGATGTCAAATTACTGATATTATCGATACGTACAAGGAATAATTAAACGAATCAATGTCACAAATATGACATGAAAGGCATATCTCATTCACATCCTCGTTTTCAGTGAGTTTTGATTTATCTGAGTTAATATATAGATCATTGCCGTGTACCTTCAGCACTGTCTGTGTGATAATGTGCGACACGACACACTTGACTACACAAGTTGTTAGAGAAATACATACGTAATGACAACTCAATTAAAAGACAAATATACCTCCTAAATTACCAACTGAAAGTCCCCTGTACTCACTCTTTTGCGTGATAACCTCCTATATATCTCACTGAATCTGTGCACAGAACGTACCACAGTAAAGGTTAATTCCTCGAAAATATCGTTAAACGAGATGCGGAAGGAAAAGACCGTTCAGCTTTGTTGCCAGCGTGTATTGAGGAATGGGAAATGAACAATCATTTAGAACGATGATGTCACTTCATTTACATATACTTGTAATGTTGCCCGAAAACAACTGTGGTTATTAGTTTATCTATATTTAAGGGACCGTTCATAAACTATAGGTAGGGGGGAGGGGGGGTATAATGATTTTTATTAATAAGCATGTACAATGTGAATGACACTCCCACTCCGAAAGTTTATGTACAAAGTTAAGGACACCCCCACCCCCTGCACGTGATGTAAAAAAATCAAAGAGTCATCATCCACCAAATGATTCTTGATAGGCGAGTTAATTACTGCAGTACCGATTATCACTCGGGAATGCTTCTGTTCAGTGGCCAGCACATTCATCCCTTGCCATCAGGATCCTCGAGTTGAGCAATCAGTTCATTCCTGAGTCACGCAGACACCGCATGCAGTTCTATTTATGAGTCCTGGGTCGCGTTACGAATTATCTGAACTTTTATTGTTTATCATTGGCTTAGGAATGTTGGCTTAGGAACGCTTTGCTAAGATATGCGATGGGGTTGATATCGGGGCAACGAGTTGATGTCGGGGCTCCTTGCGAACCATGGTAATGTTTGATGGCGTTGTGCTGCAAATGGGTTTTGACGTCTCGAGGACGGTGATATCTATCGTTGTCATACATGAATATCGTACGACTGGCAAGGGGATGGTTATCAAAAAGTGGCACGACGAAGGTATTAGAACTTCCTGTTGATAACGTTGTCCGTTGACTGGCGCCGAGTGCCCCAGGTGCTGTAATGAGATCCACCTTGAAGTTACAAGTAAAGCAGCCCCACACCATTAGTCAGTACCAGCAAAGGGTCTACCTGCAAAGATCATCACCTGGTGATATGCCTCGTTACAACGTCTCCATACGCGATAACGGCCGTCGGTAACGTGACGATGATCGCGACTTGTCCTCACGTTCTCTCAGTCTGCACCTGTCTGTGAATATCAGTGAGTGAGGGATGTCTGATCGGAGGGTTGCGTCTTGCAAGTGTCAGTAAAATCGGCTTAGCGGCGATAGACCTCCTTTCACTGATGCTGTTTATGTCACGTGGTCGGAACATTCTTACTAAAGCAGATATGATATAGACCTGATTTCAGTCTTAGTATTTATCGGAACATTCTTAGTTATGTATATAGACCTATTTTCAGTCATGGTATTTACCTTACATGGTCGGAACATTCGTAGTTACGCAGATAGACCTCCTTTCAGTCATAGTATTTATGTTACGTGGTCGGCGTAGTTATGCATATGGACGTAGATTGACCTCCTTTCAGTCATGGCATTTCTGTTACGAGGTCGGAACATTCGTAGTTACGCATTTAGACCTCGATCCTTTCAGTCATGGCATAGGTTTATGTTACGAGGTCGGAACATTCGTAGTTACGCAGATGCCGTATATCACTCACGCTATAAATGCTGAGTTGTCGGAACATTCGCAGTCAAACTGTTTGTCATTCTGGGTAAAAATGCCCCAGCAGTCGGTTCATTCGTACTTATGAAGAACAACCGCATTATTTCCGTCACTGAGATTATGTTCATTCGTAATGACGTAGACACCGCATCTCATTCAGGACGTTCTTTCAGTAATAAGTGCATTCGTTGTCACGCAGGCAGCTTTTCAAATGAAATCAGTTGCATACAGTTCATTGTGGTTAGGAAAATAAGCAACATCGGGATTAAAAATCCCTGCAGAAATAAACACATCCAATTTTCGTAAACACGATAACATTACCTGTGCTCCAGCCCAGCTCGGCGCGTCCTTCAGATGTGTTTACGTTACATCCTCAGTCAATATTTATATCATGAGTGAAGGAATCCTTTTAATCTGTCTGATTACAGTCAACCTAAGGCCAGTCACGCGCACAGCCCGTGCTGGTCCGAGAGCTCATGTGGTCTCATGCAGCTGGTGTTGATCTTCCGATGTTCTAACATCAGTGCAATAGCTTTGTAGATGGCGGTTATTCGAAATGTATCTGTAGACAATTTGATATTTATCCTCAAACAACCGTAGCTGATACACGAAACAGATATTAGTGTTTTGTTTCTAAAAGGTGATTGATTAATGTCATGCATTTACTTCAAAACATTAGAATATTCCAATCTGAAAAAGGGTCACTCAAGCTTCAATTCCATATCTCGTTCACAACATTCTCACTTCGTTGCTCTTAATTAACGAGTTGATTTTCTTCCGCGTTCATTACGACGGAAAAGTTTGGATTACACAATCATGTATCTGTTTTCACAGCAAGTGCGTAATTTTATGTTTTCTGGTATGACGATCTTGTTTTGGGGGGAATGTGGTCATCGGCATGTTTTGGTCACGCCTGTCCGTATCGTACATGCCACGAAATCTGGGGTCAACTGATTCATAAACATGACTGTGTGGCCGAGTTCCGTCTCGGTCTAATAATAGCGCAGTGCGAATCGTCAAGTGCTGAAATTGCCACAGATCTGCCCTTAGCTAGCGAAATGTAACGATCTTAACGACATTTGTTGACAGATGTTCTGTCATGTGAAGAAAAATCACTTTTCCATGACAACACACTCACCACGCCCACTGACTCGATAAACAGACCGGATGCTGGGAAGATTTAATCAAAGGGAAGTAACCCATGTCTACCATTCTTTGTCTCATGATTGGGTTGTTGGGTTTGCAATGCCAGTTCGATTCTCAATTTCATTTTTATCCCCATTTATTTCACATCTTTTACATTGGAGATGTCTGAAATGCAATGTTCTCAAAATTATTATACTGCTTATGTTAAGTATTATTGGTAGAAATGTGAACTTAGGGCTATGAATGTAATATTTAACTTTCAGAAAAGTTCGCGATGGAACAACCGCCTTGAACAGATATAAGAGGAAGCGGACATAAAAGAACTACTAACCAC